ATAGAAAGCGAAATCCGAGGCCAGCTTGTCTAACAGAGAGAACCAGAGAGGACACTTAAGAAACCTTCTGGCATCAGAACAAATCTCAAAGACTGGTCTCAAAATCTGCCTCTGCCAAGGGGACAGAGTTTAACTGGGTCAGAGTTTAATTGAAGAGTAATTTAAAACCCACAACACTGATAAAAAATAAAGCAATTAGCCAGCAACCACTGCAGCCTAACAGCTGGGTGAGATACTGCACAGGCTTAACAGAGAAATCGGGGAAAGAGACTGTCAACACAAGCCTGTTAGAAGCACCATGATCCTAGGGGATGTGGCCAACGCTACATCCTTCTGAAAAACAACAGTTAAAGGTTCACGCTGCAGTGGCAGGGGAGGGAATAGGAAACACTTTACTAAAGTAGACCAGACAAGTCACTAAATAAGTAAATAAGCAAATAAAAGAAAAACAAGTTGGGGAAGGTGGGGGTTGGGATGAGGGCATAATATCCAGAAGTGCTACAATATACTACCTAAAATGCCCAGATTTCTACAGTAAATTACAAGACATCCAAAGAAACAGAAATGTGTGACCCACAAAAAGAAAACAAAAAACAACAAAAAAACAAGCAACAAAAATTGTCTATGTGAAGGCCCAGATGTTGGATATAGTAAAGACACCAAAGCAACCACTGTGAATAGTAGGTTCCGGCAAAAGTCACTGCAGTTTTTACCATTAAAAATAAGGGCAAGTGTTCAAAGAACCAAAGAAAACCATGCTTAAAGAAGTACATAGATAATGAGAGATTACAAAATAGAAACGAATTGAAATTATGGGGTTGAAAAATATCATAATTGAAAATTAAAAATTAAACAGAAGATTCAACAGTTGATTCGAACTAGGCTAAAGAATCAGCAAACTTAGATTGAAAAGGGTTAAGGAACCCAAAGATCAAAGAAAATATAGGAAACTAAACAGAGCCTCAGACAAATACAGGACACCAATAAGTGCATCAACATGCATGCTGCACTGGGAGTGTAAGAAAAGAGAAAGGAATACAAACTGTATTCAAAGAAATAATGACTGAAAACTCCTCAGAATTGATGAACATATTAATGTACATATTCAAGAAGTTCAAGGAACCACAAGTAGGATGAGCACAAACAAAAATAGTTGCACACAGATACATCATTCCAGAAATGCCACAAACCAAAGACAAGATAAAATTTTGAAAGCAGCTATGCCAGGTTGAATATTGTCCTACAAAATTTATGTCTTTCCCAGAGCTTCAGAATGTGACCTTATTTAAAAATAGAGCCTTTGTAGATGTATTTACTTAAGATAAGGTTATACTGGCTGAGGGTGGAACCTTAATCCAATATAGAGTCATGCAAGGACCCATGTGCTGCTGGAGGCAGAGACCACAGTGATGCCTCTACAAGCCAAAGAACATGAAGGCAATACAAGAAGCTGGAAGAAAAGCACAGAAAAAATTCCCCTCAGCCTTCAGAGGGGGATGGGTATGGCCTTGGTGACACCTTGATTTCAGATTTCTACCTTCTAGAACTGTGAGGAATTAAATTTCTGCTATTTTAAACCACTCAGATGGTGGTAACTGTTACATCAGTCCTAGGAAATTCATACAGCAGAAAAAGAAATATGACTTGTCACATATGAGGGAACCCCAATATGATTAACAGCTGGCTCACTGCAACAAATAATGGAGAAAGCAGTGGATGGCATATGTATTAGTTCATTTTGTGCTGCCGTAAAGGAATGCCTGAAGCAGGGTGATTTATAAAGCAAAGAGGTTTATTTGGCACATGGTCCTGCAGGCTGTACATGAAGCATGGCTCCAGCACCTACTTCCAGTGAGGGCTTCAGAGAGCTTTCAATCAAAGTAGAAGGCTAAGGGGGAGCAGGTATGTCACATGGCAAGAGAGGGAGGAGAAGTGGGTCCCATACTCTTTTTTAACAATCAGATCTCATGTGAACTCATTACAGTGGGGTGTGCACCAAGCCATTCATGAGGATCTGTCCCCATTACCCAAATGATTCCCACTAGGCCCTACCTCCAACACTGGAGATCAAATTTCAGCATGGGATTAGGAGACAGGAACAAATATCCAAACTCTATCAACATATTTAAAGTGTAAAAATAAACTGGCAGTCAATATACAACTGACTTATATTCCACCAAAGAATCTTACATACGACCAAAAATAACTTTCAAAAATAAGACAACCCTAGCTAAACAAAAAATGAGAGTTCATTGCTAGCACACCTACTGCACAAGAAATACTAAAGGATGTTCTTCAGACTGAAAGTAGTAACTGGATTCCACAGGGAATAAGAACAGTAACTAGATTCCACAGGGAAAAAGAAGGGAAAGGTACCGAATAAAAAATTAGTTAAGTACAAGGCATTTACTCAATGACTCACCTAGAGCAACTTCTAGTCTTCTAAGCTCCATTTGTAGTAAGTGGCCTACACAGATGAACACAAATACTTATCTTTGTTAGAACTAACTACAGTATTCAGTATAGCAACATGCTGTACAGGTTTGTAGGTAAGAGCAATAGATCATACCATGTAGCCTAGGTGTGTAGCAGGTTGTACCATTTAGGTTTGTGTGGGTCCACTCTACGATGCTCACAGAACAACAAAATCACTTAACAATGCATTTCTCAAAATGTATCCCCAGTGTCAAGTGATGTTTGACTGTACATTTATGGTAAACTGATTTTCAACAAAATCAGGGTGCCAGGAAAATTCAATGGACAATACTTAGTCTCTTGAACAAATTGTGCTGGACAACTGGACAGCCATTTGCAACAGAATGATGACCTAATATCCCATTCAAAAATCAGCTGAAAATAAATCACAGGCCTAAATTTAAGAAGAAAATTTATAAAACTCTTAGGAAAAAAGCATGCGCCCACCTCAGCCTCCCGAAGTGCTGGGACTATAGGAGTGAGCCACAGTGCCCAGCCTGCTCCTTTGTGTCCTCAGTTTAGGCAATGATTTAATAAATATGACACCCAAGTACAAGCAGCAAAAGAGAATAAAACAGACTTCATCAGTATCTAAAACTTTTGTGCTTCAAAGAACACCATCAAGAAAGTAAAAAGACAACCCACAGAATGAGAAAAAATATTTGCAAATAACATAACTGATAAGAAACATGAATCAAGAATATATAAAGAACTCAATAATGAAAAGTAAAATAACCCAATTAAAGAACAGGTTAAGTAATAGAAAGGACCAATAAGCACACAAAAACATGCTCAACACCATGAGCTATCAGAGAATTGCAACTACAAACCTCAAAAAGATATCACTTCACACCTAGGAGAAAGGCTACAATAAAAAAGACGATAAGAAGTTGTGTTGAGGATGTGGAGAAACTGGAACCCTCATACACTGCTGGTGGAATGCACAATGGTGCTGCTGTCTGGCAAACAGCAGTTCCTCATAAGGTTAAATAATATCACCCTATGACAAATATAACAAACTTACAGTTGCCCCTCAGTATCCACAGGGAATTGCTTCCAGTACCACACCCCACCCCCATACATAAATGCAAGGATGCTATTTCCTCATATAAAATAGTGTAGTATTTGCATATAACCTACACACATCCTCCTCTGTACTTTAAATGATCTCTAGATAACTTATAATACCTAATACAATGTAAATGCTATGTAAAAATGTTATACTGTATTGTTTAGGGAATAACAGCAAGAAAAAAGTCTGCACATGTTCAGTACAGACATAACTATTGTGGGCCTAACTACATTGTCAATTCGTGGTTAGTTGAATACACAGATATGGAGGGCCTACTGTATAAGTAAAATGTGGTACATTCACGTAACAGATTATTTGGTAATAAAAACATATGAAATACTGATACAAGCTACAACATGAATGAAACCTAGAAACATGCTAAGTGAGAAAAGCTAGTCACAAAAGGACAAATACTGCATTATCCCATCTATAAAAATATTAAGAAGTGGCAAATCTACATGGACAGAAAACAGATTAATGCTTTCCTAGGGATTGGGGTATGGAAGGCCTCAGGGAAAATAGAGTGACTGCTAATGGGTACAGGCCTTCTTTGGGGGGTTCTAAAATTAGTTGTGGTAAGGGCTGCACAACTCTGTGAATACATTAAAAACTAATGAATTATAAATTTTAAGGGTAAATTTTATGGTATGTGAATTATATCTCAATAAAGCTGTTACTTTTAAAAAACACAACAAGCAATCTTTTTGGACATACTTTGTTACCTAATAGTTAAAAGGGTTTCTTTCATTGGTAAGTTTATACTGATGTTTAACAAGAGCACTGTGAGCCAAGGAAGCCCCCCGGGTATTTGTCAAAGTGGTCTAAAAGGCTGAAAACCATTGCTCTAAAGTTTCATACTTCCTCAAAAAGTTAAACACAGGGTTTCCACACAATCCAGTAATCCCACCCCTAAGTATACCTAAAAGAACTGAAAATCCTATGTCCACACAAAAACTTACACACATGCATTCATAGCAACATTATTCACGACAGCCTCAAGGTAGAAACAAATCCAAATACCCATCAACTGAGAAACAGGTAAACAGTATGTGGCACAACCATACAATGGACTATTGTTCAGCCATGAAAAGGAATGAAAAGTACTGATTCATACTACAGCTGAGACTTGAAGACAGACCAAATATCGCATCATTTCATTCACATGAAATGTTCAAAAAAGGCAGATTCAAAGAGATAGAAAATAGTTTTAGTGGTTTCCCAGAGCTGGTAGGAGGGGGCTGGGAATGGGAAGTGACTGCTAATGGGTGCAGGACTTCTTTCTGGGGTGATGAAAATATTGTGCAATCAGAATGTGGTGCTAACTCTGTGGACATGCTATAAGTCACTGAATTGTATCCTTGAGAAGTGTGAATTTTATGACATGTGAATTCTCTCTCAATGAAAAAAGAAAGTTTCTTAACACTACAAATACCAATCAGGTGTACAAACTTACCAAAATTCTTTTCCGATCCTTTTCTGATAAAAACTTCACTGGTGGGTATTTCTGGGTAAAGCTGTATAAGACAAAGAAATTCAAAAGGAAAAAGTCAAATATTTCATTTGAATATTTTCTCCATTTACTGTCAAAGCATATGCTAGGTTTTGGGACTGTTACTGTTTGCTCCTTCTCTCTACTCTTGAATGAGTGCTGGAGAAACCAAGGAGTTACAGGTTAATTTGAGGTCAAGTGCTATCTAACCTGCTCATTGTTTTTTTCTTTGAGACAGTCTCACACTGTCGCCCAGGCTGTAGTGCAGTGGCATGATCTTGGCTCACTGCAATCTCCACCTCCTGGGTTCAAGCAATTCTCCTGCCTCAGCCTCCCGAGTAGCTGGGACTAAAGGCATGTGCCACCAGGCCCAGCTAAGTTTTTTTGTATTTTATTAATAGAGATGGGGTTTTACTATGTTGGCCAGGATGGTCTCAATCTCCTGACCTCGTGATCCACCTGCCTCAGCCTCAAAGTAACAGGATTACAGGCACAAGCCACCGCGCCCAGCCTGCTCTTTGTTTAGAATCAAGCTAAGGATATGACTCGCGATTCCATCTCTGAGAAGCGAAAGCTTACAAAGCTATAGATTTCCAGCAGCTGCTAAAGCAGGGCAGACACTACCTCTAGTAGTCCAGGTAAAACTACACCATGAGGAAGATGGCCACGAAACTGCCTTTGAAGAAGGGTAAGTAATGAGAGAAACCTAATATGACTGGCTCCATCTTGCTTCTAACCTCACAGTCTAAATTTTATTGTTTTTGCTTATTTTAGAGCAGAGGCCAAGATAACTAGGAGAGGAATTTATAGTGAAACGTTGAAGCAAGGAAAACTGACCCTCCACCTTGTTTCGAGATTGAAGCCACACTCCTAAACCGAGGTTAGAGTTATGGGAGGGTCTGAACTTTGCTAAAGAATAAGCATAGTTCAACTATGATCTGCATGGCTTAGCTGAGCTTGGTTTTCTAACTGTTGCTTACTGCCCCAGAGTCACGCAAACAGAGGTCGCAAGACTTATAACTTCTCCAACAACTTCTACAGGTGACATCACTATTGTGAATCCTAAAGAAATGGCCTTCTGAGATAGCTTTCAGATTTAGCATTTGGCAGACAGACAAAGAGATGTCACCTAGTCACGTGGTCCTCAGACTCTGCTTCCAAGAACTGCGAGTAGACAGTTTAGACACCTCTGTGATTACACACCCAGCCAATCAATTGTTTCAGCTTCCCAGACCCCACCCATCAAACTACCCTTAAAAATTCTTGAGTTCTCAGGGAGAAAGATTTGAGAAACCTCTCCCATTCTCACACATGGCTGGCCCTGAGATTAAACTCTTCCTTGGCTGTTAACACTTCCTGTTCTCAATGCCTTGGTTTTCTCAGGGCAGTGGGTGAGAAGAACCCATCGGGCTATAACCATGGCATTCTCTAGATGCTGTATGGGGGCCAGATGGAAGAGAGCAGTTTCATGAAGTCACAGGCCCCAGGCGGGAGAACCACTCCAGAAAAGATATTAATGAAACTTTGTCTCCTGCTCCAGGAATTTTCACAATCACAGCATCCTCTTTCTGACCTGTGTCCCTGGTAAAACAATTGGGCATCAGCACCTTCTGTCTCGGTGGGTCAGTTCTGACCCTGTCTTAAGTGTCACTTATCTTTTGATGCCCTCTTACCACCTTAAGGTGCCATGGGTCCCCAGTCCACACTGATGTCCCAGAAGCCGGGTAGTGTAATTAGAATATAAAATGTCCAGTGAGAGGTGATAAACACAGAACTGAAATATTCATTTTTAAAGTGATTCAGTTAGGAACAAAAGTGCTTTAAATAAAATCTCAGACATCAGCTTTATGGTCATTATATTAGTTGGAGAGGTGTTGGGCCAGGTGGCACTGTCTCCATCCCCATCCTGTCCCCAGCACTGACACATTGCTAGGATACCAAATGCACTTCCTTTATAGTCGCTCAACTGAACAGAATATGACAGGTCATTAGACAGAAGCCCCTGAAATAGGAGTTTCTCATCTCCAGAAGGCCTGGAAGGGTGCTTAAATTGGTGTGAAAGGGCTTTCTATTACAATGCAGACGAATTCCCCTATTAAGAACTTCCAGAGTCTCAAAAGGTCAAGTTCCCCTTGCAGACTACAAAATCAGATGAAAGAGTCTGAGGGCATGGGTGGGAACCCTGGCATTCCCCCTTGTGAGCTCATGGACTGTTTTCAGCACTTGCCGCCCATAGGAAGTACCTCGGGAATGGTATCCAAGCAGCTGCGGAGCAGGGGCAAGTTCTGCCCTCAGTCAGGAGGGATGCTGTTAGACTGGCAGGATCAGAACAGATGTCCTGTTTGCCAAGTAACACTTGGGAGACTACATTGTAAATCTGAGTTATCTGTGGGCACCTCTGACACTGCTCCAATTTTTCCCATTTCTCTGAACTCACAATATCCTGGTCTTCAGCCTCAATCTCCGAGTAGCACATCCAGTGCTGTGGCACAGCTGAGACCCTCTTTCCTTCCTATGACTGCTGACAAGCACTGTGGCTCCTCTGGACTGTTGTGAAAATGCAGGTGCCATCTCTGATGCATCACTTCCCATCACTCACCTTCAGTGCTTTCTCTACCATGTATATGATTATAGAGTCAGGACTGCTCGGTAATGGGAGTATAGCTACACACGGGAAAACCAGAGGCAGAAAGGGAAACCATTCAGTGAGGAGCGGAGGCACAGGACTGTGGCATGTGCATCCAGGGCCACAGAAACAAATGTTAATCCAAGCTGTCAGCTTAGAATAGTCCCTGTCTGAAAGCTTAAAATGAAACGCGGTGTGCTACTTATACCAAGAGGAACAGGGCAAACTGTTTTATTACAGGAAATGTTACTTCAAAGAAATTGAACCGAAGCAAAGGCATGGTTGCCCGACACACACAGTGACGGGTGTAAGACGGACTAAAAAATACTTCAAATGCAGTGTGCTGAAACCCTTAATTTAAAAAACAAAAAATATTTTGGGTTTCTTGCATTGTTTTTCTTCAATATGTAGCTGCCAAGTTTTAGCTTTCACATGCAAACGCTCAAGTAATTAAACTTTTAAGAAACTATCTGGTAGTCCTCACTTCTTCCTCTGAGGCAAAGCTGAAAGTAACAGGAAGGGGTGAGTTCCTGTGGGGTCCTCCTCAGTATGAATGTCATCCTGTCTTCCTCCTTGCAGTCATGGGTGACAGAGCACAGTGACCGATAGAGCGCAGTGACCATGCGGATGCTGTTGGCTGGGCCACATGCTGAGTGCTCCCAAGCACCTGCTGGACTGACCCAGGGTTGGGCAGGGGCACAAGTTCTTTTTTTTCTTTGAAACAAGGTCTCACACTCTTGTTGCCCCAGATGGAATGCAGTCGCACAATCACAGCTCACTGCAGCCTTGTATTTTTCGTAGAGATGAGGTTTCATTACGTTGCCCAGGCTGGGCTCAAACTCCTGGGCTCAAGCGATCTGCCTGCCGAGGCTTCCCAAAGTGCTAGTATTACACCGTGCTTAGCCCACAAAGCTTCTTAAAGACCTGTAGGAGGTGAAACACCTACCCAGTGTATGGGCTCATCCACTTATTTAGGAACTTTCCATTAAGCGCCTGTTCTACACTAGGCACTGGGGGTTAAGCAGCAAAATACGGCAGAGGCATGAGGCCTGTGTTCCCGACTGAGAGAGAAACCAGCAAGCAGAGGCAAGATGAGGGATGAACTAGGTAACAAATCTTTTCTGACAGCCCCAAATTAATCCTTTACTAATTATTAATATTTTATGATATTCCAGACTAACTTTACTGTTTAGTAAGATAGCCGGTAAGTAGTATCCTTACTCAGAATTGAAATTATCATCATTTGCCATCTATTCAAAGAACATTTAAAGATACAGAATTAAAATTAAACAAATGGCAAATAATCAAACTTTTAAGAAATGAGAGTGTGGTGAAAAAGAGAAAAAGCTCACATACAGTTGTTACTCAGGCTTCTAGAATGACACTGTCTTCTTTTCTTCCCTGTATAAATATAAACTGTAACTTCCAAAAATATCTTTAGTTCTTGGGGGACACTTTGCTCAAAGTGACAAGCATGTCAAGTAAACCTATTTCCAGTTATATTCTTATCTTGTCTGTGTCAAGACGGTTGTTTGATCATCTTTATTACACAATTAGCAAAAGTAAAGCTAGACAGAATTCCATCAATTTCCACCATCATACTTTTTTTTAGCCAGACCTGCACTTGACCTTCTGACATAGTAATGTGGGCATGTGGGTCACCTGACTTGCTGAAAAACCTGAAGGACGGAACCATCCCAGAATGAGTCACCTGTAAGCAGCCCAAGAGGCAAATGTTTGCCTTCTGCCACTATTTTCAAGGTGGCCTCACAGGTTGACAAAAATAAATTATCCGGAAATTCTTAGGATTAAATTCTTATTTGTGCTTCTCTGTCCAGTTTAAAAGCACGCACACACACACACACACAAATTGACAAGAATAAAGTATCAGTAAACTCTTAGGATTAAATTATTATTTGTGCTTTTCTGTCCAGTTTAAAAGTGCACACACACACACACAAATTAACAAGAATAAATTTATCAGTAAACTCTTAGGATTAAATTATTATTTGTGCTTCTCTGTCCAGTTTAAAAGTGTACACACACATACACACACACAATCACAAAAGTATCAAAGGGATTGCTTAACTCTCACATGCTGAGAGCTTGTTTGTAAGCTATTTATTGCCTTAGGGGAGTTATCTAATTGAGACACTTTTCTTTTTATAAGTGAATATCACTGTCTAAAGAAAATAATCACTAGTGGACAAGTTTTTTGTTTATTCGTTTTGACCAATATACAAAACGTGTGGTAGGTTATTTCTTATCGTTCCAATTTTTTCTAAAAATAAAAAATTAAAAATTTTTTTTTAAAAAAAGCTTCAATTAAAATCTCTCAATTCTGCTGTCTTATCCAAGGCAGATTTTCTGGCTTCCATCCAAGGAAATATTACAAGCTGTATAACTGAAACACAAAATCATGGCAAAAAAAATTTAAAGCACAAATAACAACTTTATATTACCAAGGGAATCTGTTAAAAATTACTGACAACTTTTATTCTGATAAGTTTTGAAATTAACAGTTTGGTTGACTGCTCAGTTGAGGATAAGAATGTGAATGACACATTTGGTTTAATGACTCTCTTCCAACCTTATTTCCGTTTGATCATTTAATGAAAATCAAAGAAAAACTGCTCATTTCTTCATTTTTGTTCTGGACTTGATAAAAGGCTCATTCAATGCTGACACACACCATCCAAACTCATCCCAAGAAAGGGGAAAAAACTCATCTCAACTTTAATAAATGCTGTCATTTTTCTTCTTAAAATTTCTAAAGACTCAACTGCTACTCTAGACCATGTTTTTTGCATACAGCATATGCAAGCAGAAAGTCCCGGAGCCTGAGGCTCAGCTGCCTCAGAAGTCCCAAAGGGTGAGGAGGGGTTCTCTCTGGAATCTGATTCAAATAACTGTTTCTATTACACCACATAAATCTTCCTTCCCAGCTACTTCACCTGGACTACATTCTGGAAACCTCTTCATGAACTTTGGTGACAAAAGCAGCTAATGACTAAACATGACACACCACAGGCTCCACATCCTTAATTCATGGTGTTTGTACATGATACTATGTTTGAGGCCCACCAGATTGTCCTCCTGTTTTGGAATTCTATCCAACTGATCAATACACACAGAAGTTAAATGAATATGTGAGGCTTGGCCACAACTTCTATGTAATAAATTTGCAGAAATTCAGATGTTCAGAGTTTGAACAAGGAAGATCTTAACATATCCAGATTGATTCTTCTCCCAATGTTCTATATGGGTATTACGCTCAAAGCCGGGGGGAATGCATATGCAGACATTTATTTAGGTGGCAGAGTTTGGAGAAAGCAAACTGAGAATTAATTACTCACTTGAGACAAACTTATTTTAACGATTGACCTTACGACAAAAAGTACACCTACCTTTTTTCTAAATCTCTGATTTTCTCTCTTAGTGGTTCAACAATCTAGAAAAATAGTAACAAAAATCAGTTTTAAAGCAAAAACAGTCTTCAACCCTTTTCACCCCATTCTGATGTTTCAGAGAAGCATGACATAATGCAACACAGGTTTTAATTTCCTCTACAAATCAACTTTCAGTTTGAAATTAAGATACAGCACTTGAGTCACAATGCTAGAATTGAGCAGATAAACTGTCCATTTGAACTCTTACTCCATAAATGCCTCAGTTTCTGATAACATATATTTATGTTATCAGCTGCAGCACATAAATTGCAGGCTGTTAGTCAACCCACATCCACGTCTGTAGACACTGTGGGCTCAGGTAGGAAGAGAGCAACCCAAGGGCTTCCCAGGACTCCCTCATTTGGCTTCATATCCAAAGTAACCTCCCATCCCCTCCCATCTTAAAAATACAGTCTGGCTTTATTTTTATGTATTTAAATAGGAGGTGTATAACCCAGTACAGGTGCTAGCCTTCAGTTGGGTGGCAGTGTGACGTCCCCATCTGTGCACATGGATGCTCTTTACATTTGTGGACAAGCATCTGATCAGGGGCCAGTTTTCTTTTCGGCATCTGTGCTAGTGAGAGGATGTTGGTACTCATTTCTGTCTCCCAAAGATAATTACTTCCCTTCCTCTAAAAAAGGCTTACCTGAAAAGTCATGTAAAAATCTAAACCCATTTTGTCTATAAGGTGGAACTTGTTTTATTCGGTCAAAAATGGACCAACAGTAACAGAGACTGCACGTCCTCTTAAATAAATAACAAGAGAGATGGTTTCAAATCACAGAACAGCATCAAGCTGCCACAATAAGGATGACAGTACAAGCAAAGGACTTGAAATTGACAAGTACACAGACAAAATAGATACAAAAATGGAAAAGAGACTAACCTCTTCAATCTTGCTTTCAATTTTTAGTTCGCCGTTTTCCTGGATAGACCTGTTGAGTAGAAAACTATAAACTGAGATTAACTGAAAGGCTTTGTGACCTCGAGAATGTTTCTGAATCAAATACCCTAACACAACCTAAAGGCTGCAGAACACCTCTACCTCCTGCTCAAGTATCAGTCACAGGTGCAATTCCCTCCAGAAGAGATGCACCAGAGAAAAAGAAGACAACCAAGGGAGGAAATCCCTTAAATGCATCTATGAACATGCTCGCTCGGTATTACTGAATGAATTATTTCCACTAAACTAAAATAATCTCACTGCCATGCTACATCCAACACAGAATTTTAAATTAGAAGCAGGAAGTGTGTCTATAGAAGTACATGTTTGCCTGCTGGGCTTTCCTGGGGATTTAATACCAAATGGAGTCTTTTAAGTAAAACCACAGAGCTCCTTTAAATGGGATCTGAGAACCCCACCTAGTCACACAGCAGCCTTTGTCAGTAGACACACACATGCCCTGGGGATAGGAATCAGATTAACACCATCCCACCCACCTTGCAAAACCCAACTCCACATGAAAAGCCTCCTGAGGGCACAGTGACCTTTAACCCTTGTAGACATATGCAGCCTCATTACATTCCAATACCAACCTAATCATCACAATAGCAATTCTCACAACATAACAAAGTGGAGCAAGTTTTCCTTTAAACAGCCAAATTTGTTTTTACAATAAATGCTTATTCCTTTTTGCTGATTTTTAAAGGCTATTTTTATAATTTGGTAAAGAGATAACACAACGGTTTTATTTTTACAAGAGACCCTCCTGCCCTAGGAAGAAGCACATAGGATGCATATAGGCTTAACCCTGGACTAAATAGGTAGTCTCAGAATCCACATCCACTAGCTGGCCCGCCCCTGGGGTTATGGGCCAGCCATGGCTGCCCTAAGACAGCTCCCTTCTCAAAAGGTTTTGCAAAAGCCCCTCAGTGTTCTTGCTCAAGCCACCCAGAAATGCATCGTACATAACCTAAGGTCGACCCTCTATTAACTACATGAGGGAAGGAAGAGTGGCTGACCATTGCTTTACTTGTGGGCTTTACTTGGTAATTGTTAAAACCGGCTGCATTCCTTGAGAATACCCATAGGAGAAAAGAAATAGCCCAGATATGTGAACAGCAAGAACCAGGTTTTGTGTTTAAAATACTTTTCAATTAACCCATGACATCTGTACCAACTGAAATGTGTCTATAAAACCCAACCACAATATCCAAGTAATTAAAAATAATTACCTCATATTAACGAAGTTGCCCCAAACAGCTGTAAGAAAAAGAAAAAAAAAAAAGTCATTATTTAAGTCCATAACTTTCAGGGATTCCAGTGGACGAAATCTTAAATTTCAAGCAATAATTTAAAGTTTATGAAGAAAACTATCATGTCAGGAAGACAACAAAAGGCACACATTATTTTGAAAACAATTAAGACTTATTACATAGTAAGCAAAAACAGGATTGGCAGAATTTATTCATACCAAGTTTGAGAACTGCAACCCAGGAAGATAAACTCAAGTTGCCCTGAATATATGCTCCCATCAGCAGCAGTGACAAGTGCACTTTTAAAGGAAGAGGCAATTGCTAAGTTAACAAGAATTTACATTAAAATGACATAAGCTACTGACTGGCTATACATTGTTTTTTTTTGTTGTTGTTGTTGTTGTATAAAAAATTCCAGGAAAAAGATATTGGGTGAGGCAGCTGGGCAGAAACAAAATGCCTTTGAAGAACCGGCCCTGGGCATGGCAGGGCATGACTTTAGCCCCATGATAATGACTCTCTGGGCCTGATAAATTCTGCAGACCTCACATGGCTCACTCACATTGCTCTGAGCTATTTTTCTTTTCTATTTATCCCCATACTTTTGGAATACCTCTTTTGGAGTCTGGAGACCCCACTTGGAGAGTGCATATGGAGCTTCTTTTTTTTTTTTTTTAAAGTGACCGATCTCCTTTGTTAACCAGGCTGGTGTCTAGCAATCCTCCCTCCTCAGCCTCCTGAGCAAGTGGGACTACAGGCATGTGCCACCACATCTAGCTAAGGATGCATGTGCTCTGATAAACAGTATGTTCTCAACCTTTGAGGAAGAACTAGCCACAAAAATCAATCACAAGTCTGAAAGATGTCCTAAGGTTTCATTTAACCTCTCTCATGTAATGATGATGAAAGCAATCCTAGAGAAATTTAACAGCAGCCTGCAGTGCAGCTTAACTCCAATAGAAGTGCCAACCTTTCTCAGCACTTAGCACATCTCCCTTCTATACTCTAGGCACCTGGTGGGCAGGCCCTACCTGTGCCTATATACAGCGGGCCTTCAGTAAATGTGTATAAATCAGCGCTGAATCAACAGCAGATAACTTAGAAACATAATACTAGACCATAAGCACTCACTTTAAGTTACTGAGCAGGAGATTCTTTCTAAAGAAGCCTTTTCTGTGAATGAGGGGTCCTAATATTTTGTACACACTCCTATTTGGCCCTCATTTGGCCACTCAGCAGTACTGAAGGCCTCTTAAGTGCCAGGTGCATTTAGGTGCTTCCAGGTGCTGAGGAAAAACAGAGAGAGTAAATACCAACATACTCCCTGTCCCTGGCTGCTAATTTTGTGAGATGGGAAGGCCCTGAGGGTAGAATCTCATAATCCCAGGCATCTTCCCATTGCCATCCTCTTGTGTGTAGTAGGAGGAGTTTAATAGCTACTCATTAAACAGGATTCAGTATCCAAACCATACCCCACAAGAAATTCCCACTCTCAAGAAAAGGAATGTTGCTGATTCCATAAAAGCACATCTCTCTTCAAACAGAGGAGGAGACTTGATTAAAAAAAAAAAAGACAGCAATATGTGACCAAATAAATAAAAGTGGCAAGAAAGCAGGAAAAAGAAAGAAATTCAAATAAATATTAACTAGATTCATTATTTATTAAAAAAAAATAAAAACTGGGCCAGGCATGGTGGCTCACACCTGTAATCCCAGCACTTTGGGAGGCTGAGGTGGGCGGATCACGAGGTCAAGAGATTGAGACCCTCCTGGCCAACATGGTGAAACCTGTCTCTACTAAAAAATACAAAAACTAGCTGGGCATGGTGACACGCGCCTGTAGTCCCAGCTACTCATGAGGCTGAGGAAGGAGAATTGCTTGAACCCAGGAGGCAGAGGGTGCAGTGAGCCGAGATCACGCCACTGCACTCCAGCCTGGAACCTGGTAACAGAGCGAGATTGGGTCTCAAAAAACAAACAAACAAAAAAAACTGCTTATGTCAGAGGCATTGGAACCACACAGAGTAACTCTATCTTGAATAGGAGCTGGGTAAAATGAGGCTGAGACCTACTGTGTTGCATTCCCAGATGGTTAAGGCATTCTAAGTCACAGGATGAGACAGAAAGTCAGCACAAGATACAGGTAACGGGCTGGACACATGGCTCACACCTGTAATCCCAGCACTTTGGGAGGCCAAGGCAGGCAGATCATCTGAGGTTAAGAGTTCGAGACCAGCCTGACCAACATGATGAAACCGCCATCTCTACTAAAAACACAAAATTAGCTGGGTGTGGTGGCACGTGCCTGTAATCCCAGCTACTTGGGAGGCTGAGGCAGGAAAATCACTTGAGCCCTACCTGGAGATGGAGGTTGCAGTGGGCCGAGACTGGCCACTGCACTCCAGCCTGGGCATCAAATAGTGAAACTCTGTCTCAAAAAAGAAAAACGAAAAAAAAGAATATAGGTCATAAAGTCCTTGCTGTTGAAACAGTTTGCAGTAAAGAAGCCAACTAAAACCCACCAATACCAAGATGGCCACGAGAGTCACCTCACTGCTACACTCTCACCAGCACCGTGACAGTTTACAAATGCCACGGCAATGTCAGGAAGTTACCCTATATGGTCTAAAAAGAGGAGGCAAGAATAATCCACCTCTTGCTTAGCATACCATCAAGAAACAACCAAAAAAATGGACAACCAGCAGCCCTCAGAACTGCCCTCTCTATGGAGTAGCCATTCTTTTAATCCTTTCCTTTCTTAATAAACTTGCTTTCACTTTAAGGACTTGCCCTGAATTCTTTCGTACACAAGATCCGAGAACCTTCTCTTGGGGTCTGGATCAAGACCCCTCTCCTGTAACACTTATACCTTTAGAACACGTGATTTTGCTTTTATCTTATTCTCAGGAAATAAGTAAACATACAGAAAAAGTGCCCTCACAAATGTCATGGCCTTATTTATAATCACACACACCCACTGCTGGATAAATAGTGATATAGCCATTTGATGAAATCAGAAAGCCGTTATATATAACTATGGAACTACACTATAATATAATGATGCAGTTATGACAGTACCAGATGAAAAAATATATAAACAGTGTGACTTTCACTTCTAAAAAATGCTTTGGGAAAAAAAAGACTGTGAAATTTCCAAAATACTGAGTTTAAATGGTGACATGAGTAAAGTGTTTACTTACTTTTAAAAAAGGAGGGAAGAGGGCCGGGCGCAGTGGCTCAAGCCTGCAATCCCAGCACTTTGGGAGGCCAAGGCGGGTGGATCACAAGGTCAAGAGATTGAGACCATCCTGGTCAACATGGTGAAACCCCGTCTCTACTAAAAATACAAAAAATTAGCTGGGCATGGTGGCGCCTGCCTGTAATTCCAGCTACTCAGGAGGCTGAGGCAGGAGAATTGCCTGAACCCAGGAGGCGGAGGTTGAGTGAAACTCCGTCTCAAAAAAAAAAAAAGAGGGAAGAGATTTTAACCCTTATTAAACTCCATGTCCATGTTGTCCTGTTCTTGCCTCTTTCTAGACACCTGCTGAACACTTGGGTCAGTCCTCAGCTCAGACACCAGGCACTGCTGCCACCAGAGTTCACAAAGAGCACCCGTGAGCCACCAGTTGCCAAAACCATGTGCATTTTTCTTTACTGTGCTATCTCTCGAGTAAGTTATAAAGTCTCGGTTTTGCTGTAGAATTAAGCTGCTGATCAAAGTAGATCCTTTCACAGAAAACAAGTATTCTATGTCATGGAAGCATCCATTCTCATATTGCCTATGGAAGTATCACTTATTGCCTTCTTGGTGGGTAGCACCTTTTGGCAGACTTTTCAAATCATCACACGGCTATTCGCTTTTTCAGTTTTTCTTTCCAACCTTTTTTTGAGTCAGTTTAAAATGATTTCAGGCTGGTGCAGTGGCTCACGCCTATAATCCTAACGCTTTGGGAGGCCAAGGCAGGAGGATTGCTTGAGCTCACAAGTTTGAGATCAGCCTGGGCAAACTGGTGAAAACCCAATCTCAACAAAAAATACAAACAAATTAGCCAGGCGTGGTGGCCCGTGCCTGTAGTCCCAGCTACATGGTGGGGCTGAAGCAGGAAAATCACTTGAGCCCAGGAGGTTGAGGCTGCAGTGAGCTAAGATCGCGCCACTACACTCTAGCCTGGGTGACAAAAGTGAGACCCTGTCTCGGAAAAAAAAGGTGATTTCACAGAAATCTCTCAATGCTTCTATCCTCAGTCCATTTCAGAGCAGTGAAGGCTGCCACCCATCCCAGACACCTTCTGTTTCCTTGACCATAATGTCCTGACCCTTTCCCCTTGCCCACTGATCCTCCTTAATCATCTCTTCCTGGGGAAGCAGGGGACACCCATGCTTCCTGGGATCAGCCCTGGGGAGTGATGTCCAAGCTACAGCCACAGCTTTACCACCCTTCATAAATGGATAAGAATGGATGTAAGCAGATATGGAACAGATCCACTTCTGTGGCGTAGACCTCTTCCACTGCCCCTAGAGGCTGGAGATGCACCTGGAGATGTGTCCTCTCCTCCCCGACTGCACTTTCTGATTCACCTTGCAAAGGAAGGCTTCCTGAATCTCTTCCTTCCCCACTCAGACCTCCAGAGCAGCCCCCAACAAGCAGCCTCCTGCATAGGACTCTCCACTCTCCCTAAACCACTTGCTGTCCCCAACCCTTCAGCTCTGTCTACAGGTGGTATCCTGGGCACTTGCACCTCCAAGCCTCATTTGATCCTTTTCTTCTCCAGAAAGCATCTTCAACCTTCCCTCCTGCTCCAGGAGACACTGGTGGCCCTGCCGTGTGGCCAAGGCCTGCTATATGTTTTAGTCTAGTTGGTGCTTATACAGGTAAGTTTCTCTGAAATACGAGGTGTTTTCATATTTACATTTGCTATACCAGGCATACATGATTCAAGTACTAAAACTGGTTGAATGTAGGCCAAGTAATTTTTCCCTTTTCTTACCACATTTATCCCTTGCTTATTACTTTTTATCTTCAGATGCGCTATAACCAATTAATCTTTACAATGTTTTTATGTCAAGTGTTCTGGCCTTCTTTCAAATTATCAAAAGCTCTACCTGCTTTGTTCCAGAGAGAATTCAATACCCAGCCGAGACCAAAGAACAGACACACAGAGCAAGCAGGACAAACCCCCCACACTGCTACACACATTCCAAATGGAAAGACACAAGCAAATTCCAACAATTATGGAACCTTAGTTTTGTGTATTTCTGTGTAGAGTAGCCCGGAAGATGGCAGGGCATAGATCTTAAAAGTTAAACACGGCTTTAAATTAATGTTGCTTTCAAGTTTTTGCAACCTGCTTTAGTTATTCTGACCCACCTACAGTGCTTCAAACAGATACCTGGGCATTACTAATAGATGTACTCTACAAATATGTGAGCTGAATTAAACCCATTTATATAGTACCAGGAATCAATATCAAGAAAAGTAAGTATTTTAAGAAAGATATTTTATTCAGTTTTTGACAAAGGGCTTAAAAACTGAACTCCCTCACACAGCTTTAAAAATATGTTAATTTATTCTAATTTTTAATGTAAATTTTAAAAAATACTTTGCATGTAAACTGTGGCATATCAGCTTCATAGTTCTCATTACGTCGGTATCCAGATTTCGATACCCAACTATGCAGGGAAACCCAGTTCAAGAAAATCTACCTCATACAAATTTTCATTTAGAGTGAAAAACTGGGTTTTTTAAGGGTATGATTAAAATGAGTATCCTTTTCCAACAAAGAAAAAATCAAAACACTAACCCAACATTTTCATAATCTTTATGAGTCTAACTTGGTTCCTTAGTCATCAGCTATCATGAGATCAATCCTTTTAGAACACAGCCTCCCAATCTGAAGTCTGTGGGTCTCCGTGGATCCCTGAATGGGTTTCAGGGAGACTAGAGGGGAAAAATACCTTGTAAGCACATGTGAAATTTTGTGTTCACAGGTCTGAAAAGTCCTCCAATGAATTCAAGACTCCAAAGGAATGGAAAACCACCAATGCAGAATCCATAAAGGCCCGGAATTTTAAGAGGCACATTTGTTTTAGAATAGGGATACAGCCTGAATCCCCCGATGCCAGGCCACACAGAAAGTACAGATTCTTCACCAGGAATCCAGGTCTGGTAGTAATTTCGACGGCCCTATTTCAAGTAATGTTACAAGGCTGGGTCAGGCAAAATCACCATTTCCATTTTCTACCTGTCCATTTTAAACGGCTACAGTATGCTTTAGCATGTTTTTTCAGCCATTCCCATCACTATTTTAAACTGTACTTACACTAAGTCACAGGAAGAAAGTGTGATTTAGGGAGAGACTGCTCTCCTACCCTATGCTACCTATGTAACGTCGTACATAAGGCACATCCTTCTTTACAGTATGACATATACAAAGCAGCCTGCTGGGTGCTCAATGAAATCAGGCCGTCCCTGGCTGCAGGGACCTAAAGCAGGCTTTCCCTTCCTTTTCCAGTGTTTCCTAAAATCCTTCCTTGCTCGTCCATCCACTATTCATTCAACAAACTCAGTGCCTGCGGATGCATGAGTAAGACCCCACACACATTGCTTTACTGTTCAGTAGGTGATGTTGGGTCTGTGATGGAAATGCAGCATGTACAGGGAGGATACCCAGAGAGGGTGTGGAGAAGCTTTCCCAAAGACCTGGCTGGCTGACAAACAGTGGCAGGGTCCACCTCAGACTATGGGAGACAGCGTGCACCCATTCCTGCAATAAAAGATAAAGCAGCGACCACTGGCTAGATGCTGGAGAACTTACCCCCTTTATTGAGACCTAGGCCTTTAGACTGAACCATGCACAGAGAAAGAAAAGGCATGTCCCAAAATAACAGTAACAGAGGCCATCAGTCACAGGGCAAATGCAGGTCTCTTTTTAAAAATTTAAACATTTATTTGAGTACCTTCAAGGAGCGAAACAATGCGTGAGGTCAAGTAGCCAAGGTTCCTAATCCACACTGCTTTTAGCATTGAAAGGGCTCTGTAGGCCCCAACACTGACAGAGATGGGGCCGTGGGTGGAGCAGTGTGGATCTGATTCTCCAGTCTCAACCGATAAAATCCAGGACCTTCCAGGCCAATGGTCTGTACGTCAGAACTGCTGAATCAGAATCTCTGCAGAGGCCTCCCAGCAGCTGTATTTTTTAAGTGCCCCAAGTTACTGTGACCCCTGGCGAGAGAGGAGGATCTTCACCGTAAGAGATTTGGGGACCTGCTACTACCACCTATTGCTCACCTCTCTGAATGTTCATAGTCCAGGGTCAGGGCATCTGCCTCCTCATTCCTCAGACTTGTCACACTTGCCTGCCTCAGGGCCTTTGCACTTACTCTTCTCTCAAATGCCTCTTCACTTTTCTCCCTCCCTCCCCTCAGTTATTCCAGGTCTCAGCTCAAAAGTTACCTACTCAAAGAGATCTTCTGATCTTCTGACCAATCTATCTGTAAGAGCACCCCAACAACAGTCCACTTAGCCTTTCTTTTTCTTCACAGTACTTATCACCGGCTAATACACCTATTTATCTATGTCTATGTTATTGACTGTTTGCTCCCAATTAAAAAAAATGTAAGCTCCACAACAGCAACAGTTTTGTTTTGTTCAGTGCTATTATCTAGGGTACTGAGACTGATGAACATAATATGTGCTCACTAAGTATTTGCTGAAAGAATGACTAGAAAACTCCCCCACATGACTGGGAGTTGCTACTCTAGGGCAGAAGTCAGAAAACTGCAGGCTGGGTATGGAGGCTCACACCTGTAATCCCAGCACTATGGGTGTGTGGATTGCTTTAGCCCAGGAGTTTGACACCAGCTTGAGCAACATGGTGAAATCCCATCTCCACAAAAAATACAAAAATTAGCTGGGTCTAGTGGCTCTTACCTGTGGTCCCAGATACTCAGGAGGCTGAGGTGGGAGGATCGCTTGAGCCCAGGAGGTTGAGGCTGCAGTAAGCCATAATCGCACCACTGTACCCCAGCCTAGGCAACAACGTGAGACCTGTCTCAAAAAATATAAAACAAAAACCCGCAAAACTCTATTAAAAGAGCCAGAACGGTAAATACTGCAGGTTTTGTGGAACCTCTGTCCCAGCTATTCAGCTTTACCCCTGGAGAGTGAGCACAGCCAAAGACAATCTGTAAAGGCATGGCTGTGCTCCCATACACAGAAATTTGAATTTCATATAATTCTTAGGTGCTGTGAACTAGTATTCCTTCTGACTTTTTTCAACCATTTAAAAATTGTTAAAATTTTCTAGCTCTTGGGTCTTACTAAAACTAGCAGTGGGCTGGATGTGGCCTATGGGCCACAGTTTGCTAACCTCTGCTCTAAGGGATACCAGAATCACTAGGGTGACTCCAGTCCAGGGAGTTCTTTTCCTTGAAGGAAAATGGCCAGCAACCACCTATATATAATGCACACTGGAGAAGTAAAGGCTGCAGTCACCCAAGTCCTGGGGAGCAGCATGAGGATGCCTGTGGGTCACATACTCATAGGTGGGATGACTCCTGGACAGAGGAGGAGATTCTTATGGAGGAAGGCAGTGGGGAGGGAAGGGCAACATCAGCAGAAGCCTCTGGGGAGGGGAAGATGCAGCAGCAAGGTCAAGATGGACAGGATGGTTGTTCTCCTAACAAGCCCCAGGAGATTCTGTTCATGAACCAACTTTGGGCACCACTATGTTTCCTTTTATATTATTCCAAGAAAGCTGGGCTCCAGACAGCAGGCAATGAACAGCTGTTCAGAGCTTGATGAGGCACAGTGAGGTGCTGTAGCCCAAGCAAACCTGGAAGCACGGGTGTGAGAGACAGATGGGCGATGGAGGAGGTGGGCAGAGAGTAAATAATGCAGAAGGCAGAGCCCATAGGTCCTGGGGGTGAGGACAGTGATGTCACAAGACAAAAGCACCAGAGGCAGACAGCTGGGGCAGGGGAGGATAGTCTGAGATAAGCACATGCTCCGCTCAGGGCATCCTGTAATAACCCTCACGAAGATGTCTAACAGGCAAACAGAACCTGGGCCTTTTATGCTGGTTCTAATCACAAAGTAATGGTATCAACACCATCCCACAGTGGAAGACAGACACCAAGAGGCATCCTGCGACTTAATCAAGGCCATACAGCTAGTGTCCACCCACCCCAGGCCACCTTTCCAAAGGTGAGGGCTCAGTCCAAGGCCTGCATGACCTGTCAAAGGCGCCAGAGTCCTTCCCATCTGCATGGAAGAAAGGCGTCTTATTCATTTCCAAACACATCCTCTAAACTAATCCTCCATCCTTGAGGCCACGTGGCATGTGTTCAAACAATAACTGAGTGACATCAACCTCCATGAAGTCCTCAGGGGGGCAGCAAAGCCTCCTTGAATGTGAAAGATGCCCCCCATTTCAGGTGAATGAGTAGCGATTTCCAGCCTTCCAGTGCTCAGAGCAGGAACACTTTAATTTAGAGAGGTATTCAAAATGGAAACCTTCTGCAAACAGAGGGCTCCTTAAGCACACTGAAAGTATTACTGGCAGAGAAAGTTCCAGAATGCTGCTGCTACATACACTCTGATTCTGGACTGTTTGCTGTTCCTCTCAAGCTTTTCTGAACATGTGAGCTGTACCAAAAAGCCTTATCTGAGCCATAACACAGTTTGTCTGCCGAGTGCTTGCAATAAAGCTATGTGGAGTCCTTGTGTGTTATACACAAAGGGAGCCTCCAAAGTGACACTTTCAAAGCCTGTCCCAAAATTATTTGGCACACCTTGCATAGGGGGACAGGAAGAGTGTCTCTGTGATCTTCTTTTAAACCTGGGGAACTAGGGCTGCTTGGACCACAAGGAAGAGCAGAAAATACACTATATGATGTCTTTAGATGGTCACAGAGGGCCAGTGCTTCTGCCACATTTGCTGGGACACCTGGTCTCAGAGTCCTGATCCACCATGCATAAAGTCTGACCACCCGAGACCGGACAGCTTGCCTGTGGGCACTCCAACAGCCAAGCCTGAGTCTGTCCTCAAGGACAACACCTGCCAGTGAAGAAGTCACCCCCAAGTGGATGCTCTATCACGAAATAGAGAAGAGCCATCCCCATCTCAAATTCCTGACCCACCAAACCCATAGGTATAAATACAACAGTAACTGTTTTCTGCCACTAAGTGGTTGGTTAATCCGTGAAACATAACCAGAACCAAAACAGAGCCAGACCTGTCGCCACCTTTAATCTATTGATGCTCATATGCCCAGGTCACAGACCTCAAATCAAGCCAAGTATAGGCTAAATCCCTCCGCACCCACAGCATGCCCTACCAAGTGCATCTGCGCCCTCCTCCAGTGAAAGACACAGCTGTCCATTGGGACTGGCCTGCCTGGGTACAAGTCAAGCACTAAATAAAGTGCTTGGAAAATTCTGATACCCCCAACCCAAGCTGCTCTCCACCTGGCTGTAGTCCTCCCACCGCCCCCACCATCTAAACAAAACACCAAGTGTACATAGGAAAGAAGCATCCTTACTCACCTCCCAAGAACTCCAATCACCCTAGCACTCTGCAAAAGGGCAAATCTTTGACTTGCCTTGGATAAACCCTGAGGTGGCACAACTGAAATGTTTTCTTAAAGCAGATAAGAATATGCATCATTCTTCTAAGAAGAAAAGCATTCAAAGTTTTGCTTAAGCTGACCAGAAAGTTCAAATTAGAATACACTGCTCAGCGCGGCGCGGTGGCTCACGCCTGTAATCCCAGCACTTTGGGAGGCCGAGTCGGATGGATCTCCAGGTCAAGAGATCAAGACCATCCTGGTCAATATGGTGAAACCCCGTCTCTACTAAAAATACAAAAAATTAGCTGGGCACAGTGGCACGTGCCTGTAATCCCAGCTACTCGGGAGGCTGAGGCAGGAGAAATGCCTGAACCCAGGAGGCGGAGGTTGCGGTGAGCCGAAATCGCGCCATTGCACTCCAGCCTGGGTAAACAAGAGCGAAACTCCGGCTGAAAAAAAAAGGCACTGCTCTGTGTTTAATTCTTCAAATAAGAAAGCGGGATGTGCTCCTGGGGTGAGGGAGCTTTCCAGTTGCTAGTTCCCACCAAAAGAATGAGTTGCTCAAACATCAGGCATCATGATACACCAGAGTATCATGGTTGCTGAATGGGGAACCATGCCTACTCCTGAATCTGAAGAAGCCTTAGCCCTAAACCCTGGAGCATGCCCAGCTTAGAGAAGCCTCTGCCATTGACCTCAGCCTTCCATGCCTACACGTATCCTAAGTGGTTACACAGGATCAAAAGTGGCCCAAATAAAAAGGCAATTTGGGGTGCCTGTGCAGGCTCTAGCAACCAGCATGTTCCAAACCTAAAGAGAGGACACTTGCTTGTCAGACCTCCCTGTGGTCCTCGCCCTGCTCTCAGCCCTCCAGGAAGGCATAACTCCAATTTCTTGCCTTCAGAAGCAGGCAAGAGAGCAGCCCCTCTGCAGCCCCAGCTGGCAGGCTCTGAAATCCAGCTATAAACCCTCATTTGTGACTAATACCTTCCCACAGACTTACCTAATAAAATCCTACCAATATTTCCAGGGGAAAAAATTTTGCCCCAAGATGTCACTTTTTTAAAAGTATAAGACACAGTAGGTTTTGCAGAATATCTGCACCTTTAAAAAGTCTTTACACATAAAATGCCAATGCCAACATTAAGTGAAAAGGGCAACTTGGAGACTTAGAGGATAATACATACAGCAGGGTCAATGTTTTTGCTTTTAAAGCTACTTTTTTTTTTCAGAGACAGAGTCTTGCTCTGTCACCCAGGCTGGAATGCAGTGGCACTGTCTTGCCTCACTGCAACCACCTTCTGGGTTCAAGCAATTCTCCTGTCTCAGCCTCCTTAGTACCTGGGATTACAGGTACCTGCTACCATACCTGGCTAATTTTTGTATTTTTAGCAAAGACAGGGTCTCATCACATTGGCCAGGCTGGTCTCGAACTTCATACCAGGTGATCTATCTGCCTCGGCCTCCCAAAGTGCCAGGATTATAGGCATGAGCCACTGAGCCTGGCCTAGCTACATGCATTTTTAAATGTATGTATTTATTTGTTTATACATGCATGTATTTGTTTATTTTAAAAGTCTGGAAACATCAGGTAATACGACCTTTCTGTATTTTTGTATTATTTTAATTTCTGCAACTCACAGGAAGAAACTTTTAAACATCTTTTCTAAGTCTGTAGAGGATGCTGAGTTGTTCTGTGTAGTTCAGGTAGGGCAATATCATGGTTTTCAAAGTATACTGCAAAATCCCCCAAATTGTAAATTAAATGATAAATTAAAAGCCTATAAACTTGTAAGTCAGAAGAGCCAGAAATTCAAATCCATTTACTTAAGTACCTCAAGAAAATTTACTACTTTGTTTAAAGGTCTAGATACAAGAAACTCACTTCCACAGGGAACCCTCTAATGGAGAATAGCACAAATGCTTGTTTAGACCAGAGCTATGCAAAGTGTCTTCTCAAACTGTACCAGCAGCTCACCTGAGAACTTGCTGGAAATACGGATTCTCAGGTCTCACCCACGGCTGTTGTTATGGTCTGAATATTTGTGTCTCCTTAAAATTCACATGCTGAAATCCTAACCCCTAATGTACTGGCATTAGGAGGTGGGGACTGTGGGAGGTGACTGGGTTGTGAAAGCAGAGCTCTCATGAATGGGGTCAATGCCCTCATAAGAGGGACCCCGGAGAGCTCCCTTATTCCTTTGCCATGTGAGGACACTGTGAGAAGGTGCCATCTATGAACCAGGAAGTGAGCCCTCACCAGACACTGAATCTACTGGGGCCTTCATCTTGGACTTCCCAGCCTCCAGAACTGTGGAAAATAAATTTCTGTTGCCAATAAGCCACTCAGTTTGCAGTATTTTGTTATTACAGCTGTAGGACAGCTCCCAAAGCAGAAACCCTGAGGTGTGTCCTGGCCATCTGGGCTTAGCAAGGCTCCAGGTGATGCTGATGTGGCCCAAATCTGAGATCCTCTGC